AAAGGTATTTTACAAAATAATTACATTTTTAACTAATGCTAAAACTACCAACGGAAGAAAATACTTTTATTATGGATTTTCAAAGATTACCGTTTATCTCCCCCATTTCAAAGATTATCGTTTTCAAATCAAGGTTGTAGCTGGCTATACATCTTTTTTTCCTATACTTTCAAATATTGTTGTTAAACAATGCTTAACTTTACTGATTTTTGGCACATCGGTGGTGGACCTTTTTAATCCCGGACCTTCATATATTACTATCTATTCTGCGATAAATTCTGGGAAATTATAACTGGAAAAATGTTATTCGACAAAATGTCAATTTGATCGATACCAAATTTAGATTCTGAATTTAAATAACATAAATAAAAAATAATATAACCTAGAAAATGTTTTATAAATACCAATGAGTATATAATTATACAAATGAGATCTTTCAGAGCACCGTGTTTGAGAAAAATATGCCAAAAAGTGCATTTTCATATTAACATTGATATTTTGAGTCTCTAGTAACACTTGCTGCCCGTTTACTAACGTTTTTGTATATAAATAAATCTACAAACAAAACTACTTACTACAAATTTATCATAATTAAATAATATTCGCTTAAAACATCCTATTAAACGTAATTGAACATCATCTGTCAAAAGCGTTTGACATTTCACGAAATTGCCACCGTCAATTGTTTTATTTAAATTACGCTTCAACAAAAATTTTCAAATTAAAAATGTAAAGTTTCTACGCGGATTTGAAATAATGTCTCACCTTTTGGACTTTCTCTGGATTGGCACGAATTTTTCAAGACTAAGACTGGCCAAATCGATTCAGCCGTTTTCGAGTTTTATTCGGACATTTGAAAGAGAGCTCCATTTTTATATATAAGATATATATAAATTAGTTCAAAATTTATTATATATTATGCTAGAACATGGATGTTAATTAGCGATTGCAAGTATGTAAAAGATTCGAGAGATAAATTTGATTTATGGAGAGCACCGTAATTAACTTCATTTATAATTATTTCTCTTGAGAAATCTTTTAAACTTAAAAAATATTTATTGAAACTTGTAGAAAATGATCACTACTTTTATAATGGTTCCACGACTAACAGTTTAATTTAAAAAAAAGCAACAAAATTCTGAACGGGCCTCGTACTTAGGACATAAGTGTTTGTTGCTGCGCACTGCAATTAACTTTTGAAACTAAAATACAGTTTTTACAAAAAATGACATGGCGTATTTGAATCACTTTATATAATCAAGTTTCTAATAATTAATGAATCAAATTAAGGAATTGGAAATTGAAATTGAATTTTAGCAAAGCTTTCTAATATGTGTTTGTCATGCTAAATTTTGATAGGGTTTGATCAGCACACTATAATTTTCTTTCGCAACTAAAGTCTAGTTTTTTCTAAAAAATCACATAGCGTGTTTTAATCATTCTATATAATCAAGGATCTATTAATTAACCAAATCAAGGAATTGGAAATTAAAATTGAATTTTAGCAAAGCTCTTTTATGTGTCTGTGACACGCAAAATTTACCGAAAGAGGTCAATATGCCTGGAATGGCAATATTGCATGGTTTTGGGTGTGCCCCAAAAGACCCAAATACAAATAGTGTATTAGTTAAAGTGTACGTGGGGGAATAAGTCATTATATGGACGTCAGAACACGAATTAAATAGAGAACGTTGAGAAGAATGTTATTTACATTTGGAAAAAGATTGCATAGTAGGTCAAAGATTCTTGAATTTTAATTTAAATAAATGAAAACAAAGTTATAAATATATTTTCTGTTATAAGTTATAAACATATTTCTATAATTATTGTCAATTCTATAGCATAATTTTGTTATAATTTTAAAATTATATTAGTGTATTTTTTTCACTGTGGCGACTATAATCCTGTTTCCGCATGAATATGTTTCATCTATTAGAAGTATTCAGTTTATTCAAATTAAAAGTATTAAAGAGAGCATTTACAGAAAATTTGCATAATTATTAAAATTAATAAAAATTACTTTTATTTTAATATTTGAAATACACAATTTATAAGTAGATTCTAAAATATTTTTTGGCTTTAACTTCTATTTTCAATAATTTATTTATAAATTCCATTATCAATATATTGTTACAAATTTCATAAGATATGGAATTAATTTATGTTTCTCTCATATTTATATCCCTATGTTGTCTTCTCAATAAAATTAATTGTTAATTTTGACAGCGATTTTATGATCCGACTTGTTCTTTATGGTCCAATATTAACGGTCGATTAATAGTCTGGTAAACAGTGACGAATTGCGACATTAGCAAGGTTTTAATATATATTGGATGATTTGTTATTTTATACTTGTCACTCTACTTATCAATTAGTTTTATATAGTACCAAAGCGCTAGTATTTATAATAGTTATATACCATTGGGGAAGATTCATGAAAAATGTCTAGGGGATTCATTGCCACAACGTGAGATAAATTTTGTTTAAAATTTTATGAAGCGACTGAAACGCTTTATAAGTTGGAAATGTAATATGAGTTGTGATGCAAATTCAAGCCGACTTTAAAATATATTTGCAATGAATAGGGAAACATATAGAACAGTATTTAAATATATATTGACAATTAAAGTTGCTGTAATATTGAAACAATTAAAACTCCTTAAGAGCATTTATTTATTTAATATCTACGTTTAATTTTTTAAGTTTATTTAAAATTAAATAGTTTTTATCTGTAACTGCTTCATCAGATAATTATCATAAATATTATTTATTCTACATATGAGTTTACAAACTGAGCCACTAATTTTAATAAAGTGCTATTTAACTCGTTGATTGCCATAATAATAGTTCTATTTTTATATTATTTATTGTATTAGTTTATTATAAGGCCATGTAAGTCATACGTGTGACATCAAATATACAGTGTTTTCCGGGAATTTTAGCATAAAATATGTTCTTTGATACATTAAATTTTCTTGATATATTTTTAATTGAATTATGTAACAAAGTTAAATTTCACATGTAAATTTTTTTAGTATTTTCGTGGCGATTAACGAGTTAATTCTAAAAAATGTACAAAAATAACATACAAATAGCGTAAAATAATAAATCGTGTAATTTAGTACGGAATCGTAACTTTTTAGATAATTATTTTTCAATATGCTTATGAAATACAAATATGTACTAAATTAATTCAGTAATTTAAATATTAATAAATATTTTGCACCCACACATAATTAAAGATATTGCCCTAGAAATTAGTTATGTAAAAATTGTTATAATTATAAAATTATAAATTTTAACTTAATTAATTTGTTTCTTTATTAGTAAACGTTTGTATCCTAGATATACTCTCGTATGTGTTATCATGGTTATCATTCTGTAATTCATACCAAAAAACACAAAACCTTGATTTATAATTTGCATTTTAATGATAATTAAAATTTTATATAAAAACATCAGGAGTCGAGGCGTATAAAGTTATAAAAAATATAAATACACAAATTTGAGGAATTCGCTGCTCTACAGAATTATATCATATATAATTAAAAGCAATGCAAAAAATCTCTAATAAACTTCTTACAATAAATTAGGTGAAAATATAAAGAACGCTAATGAGAACTTATGTCGAGTAATTTTAAAAAACTTTAATGCTGGTTCGTATCTGATCATCATTAGCGTTATTAACTTTGCAAGTGTATTGCAAGAACTACTATGCGTTAAACGGTGCACAAGATGATATTTTTCTCCGCCAGATAATTAAACTTTATTGTGTCTGCCTTGTGTGTTGCACGTGTAAAATCTAGGCGCTTTTCGCCAGTACGCTTCTATTTCATAAAAATGCCACGGAATATTTAAAATTAAATTTATTAAATATTTATTCCAGGAAGGAAATACCACAAAGATTTCTAGGAATTGTGTATAGTTCAAAACATGTACATACATTTTAATATGTCGAGAAAGGAAAAGACTGGCTGGTTTTCTTCATTACTAACAAGCCGAGATACAATGCTAGTAATTCGACCATGCATGATTTTATTATGATGAGGAGATTCAATTCTTAATATTAAAATTCTAATTTATTATGCATTGCTTTTTTGGTATTAATCAGAGCGACATCATTGAGAGTGAGTAGCTCTGGGGCGTCAGAAATTAAAATTATTAATCAAGCAAATATGTAGCACGGTTGAAAGGTTTATGACACAAAAGGCTGAATAATTTTTTTAAATTAAATTGGAGTTCCGTGTATTATCAAGATGATGATGTTTGTGATAAACAATTCAAAAACTTATGCCGATGCTCTGTGTTATGACAAACAAAAACTGATTTTTGTAAATCATATATAAAAAAAAAATAAATGAATGTATATAAAAATTTATTAGTTATTGAAATGTGCAAATGAGATAATGAGTTTGATTTATGAGAAATATTGTGTTTATTCTTATACTTTCATATATTCAGATTCGGATTAACACTTTTTTTTTAATTAAAAACATATAAACATATAAAATACATATGTAATATGTAAGTGTTTTAAGTAATTTATTTATAGTTTATATAATGTAATCAAGCAAATCAAATTTTAAATTTTATATTTTTTTTTTTTTTTAATATATATTGTTAGGATTAACGATATTTTTATATACTGGAGTTTGTGGATTAATTTATACTAAAAATTAACTTGTAATTGCTCAGAAATTAATTTGAGTAAGATCATGCAATATATATGTTTAAAAAGCTATACGTTTCCATTTCTTTACACGTAAGCGATCATAAATCATTAATGTAGCACTACGAAAAACTTTAATATGCGCGTAGCACTAGGTTTTAGGCGTGAGATAACTCCACGCGAGTTTTCAGCGCCTGAGTTTGCTAATTGTCATTTTGCCTAACGTAGAATTTTTCATATTTAAATAAACCTTTTCATAATAATTTTCAGTTCATTAAATAAAATATATAATAAGCCTTTTAGAAACACTTTATTAAGTAGCCTTCTTAATGTACATGGAAATTACCAAAATATTAGAATTATAAAAAATAGTTTTTGTTTTTTAAATAACAACTAAAACATGAAATAACAATTTACAACAAATTAGAACTAGTTAAATATTACAATCCCACCAACATTATTATACAACCATAGTTTTAGTAACTGAGCAACATTATCATCCCAAAAATACATCAAACAATTTAATACTATTTGTAGAATACAATTTGGGTGCAAGCTTAATTTCACAAATGCAAATACTTCGCAAAATATACATAAATTATAATGAATCATCTAATCTTCAGTTCACAATTAGTCTTTTTTATCACCAGAGCCATGTGCATCCACATCCTGCGTCTCAATGATTAATTATTATTGCAATATTATTTATGTAAATATCACATTTAAAATATTAAAATTTACCTGATTCACAAACTTAGTTGACCAAGACAAACTCATCAATCTGTACCTTTCTTTTACCCTTTCTCGGATTTTTTCTGGTATCACTAGACATGTAGTAGCAGTATTACCGATAAAGAGCACGAAGAATAAAAAGCTTAATACCGGAACCTTTAATAAAATTACAAATCATTATTTGGTATAAAGGAAACCCAATAATATTAGCAGTCATTTTATTTACCTGCCATGTGGCCTCAGGGTGATAACTCAAATGGTATAACACATAAGCATTATAAAATTGGAAAACATATCCAATGAATAAAAATGGCAACAAGAAACTTAAGCCTCTCCACATCCAACTGTGGAATCCTTCAATTGTGATATCCATGTTATGTCTTTCACCTAAAGCCTGCAAGTTATTTAGGAAATAGTTGATATAAATTTCATCATAAAACAACCATTAAAAATTATTTAATATATTTCAGATATACATTACCTTTAGTCGATACAACACTCCTTGTTGGTATCTAAACTGTAAGTATTGCACAAAACCTAAAAATTAAAAAACAAAAATGTCATTAATATATTTCATTTCCAAATATTTTTAATAATAATTATTGATAATTAGATTGATTATTACTTACTGATGTAGGTATTAAACCACATAAATTGATCTCGGAATTGAGTCCATGGTTCAGTTATCGGCCACACTAACAATACGCCAGCGCATACTGTTGATATAAAATGATGAATTCTCCACCAACCCTTTATTCTTGAGCCATTAACTTTTAGAATACTTTCCCTAATTGTTAGTGTACAATAATACCATACTAACAGAAACATAAATGCTAATTCTAGTGTTCTGAAACAAAGAATGACAATTTTAAAATATAAATAAATCTACTTATTCGGTGAATATTAGGAAAGTCAAAACTACACAAAGTATGATAAGTACCTGAAATTCGTCATGAGGTTTAATATTGAAAGTGCAAATCCTATAATACTCAATACTAATTTAAATTTTTCATATTCATCTTTATATCTGTATTTTTCTATTTTATTCAATATTGATACGTTTACGTTTCCAAGTATTATTCTTAGGTACAAACTATTTTTCTTTGGTAATGTTTGCTCAACTTCATACAATTGTGCTTTACGCTTCATCATATCCTTCTCTATATTTGTCAATGTTTCCTTGTTGCTTTGATAAATTTCTTTATCTTTCGTTAACCTGGAATGATAACATGGGTGTAATGTAGGTATAGTTGATTTTGTATTTGATTTTATTTACTTCTTGACTGTGGAATTTATAACATTCATTCTGTAACGCTGATGATATATTTCCCTTAAACATTTTGCTTGTAGTTCGGCTACTTCTTCCAATTTTGCCAAGTAGTCTCTGTTGACACCCTGACATTAAGTAATTCATTTACATAAATGTTCGCAAATCGTAAAACATCATATTTCATTATTGGTGTAACTATACCTCTAGCTGTTTATATTCTGCTGATAATTCTTTCCAGTCCTTCAAACACTCGGTCAATTTCTCCATTTTTAGGTTAACCTGTTGAATTAAGCGTATCTAAACATTTACAAATAGAATTCTGAATGGGATAAATTGTAGTACGCCATAGGACAAATATCAACTATTATATAAAGCAATTTTTTTTATTGATTTGCCACTTAGTATTATCAATTATGATAACAATTAACGAAAATGACTTTTGACCAATCAAGTTCACATTACGAAGCAGTGACAGCTCGAGTCTGACTGACAGTCACTGTCAAAAGTGGTGAGCAACAGGCAAGGCTACCAACGATCGCGGTTGCGCAATACGTTCTCAAACTGTACGGATCGATAATTGTAAAATTCAATGAATGAAGTGAAGATAGAAGAAAGATACTGAAATACTGGTTAAACTCATTTAAATGAGATTCTTTGGGGCTATTTTTGCATTTGAAATTTTCAAATTCTTCAAAATAATATTACATCATTGTTGGAGTTACAGCAAACGCTACGCGTAGGCCGTAGGCACGAACCGTAGAAACCTACGCCACCCCTTGTGAACATTCGATTAACGGTCCTTGGAAAGTTAACAATTTCTTAAAAATTAAATAAAAATCATAACATTAAAAAATATATTCATTAATGATAAACACCTATTTGCCACTTCATCCAACTCAATTTATATTTTCTAAAAATTCTGCCTCCATTGAAAATTTGGAAGATTTTTATTAATCTTCGTTGATGTTCATTGGGAGCCCCAAAGTCTCTGGGGTCTCCTATAATTGATATAGCATAAATTTTATGCAAAGTATTATGAAAAGACTTTTCAATATAATAATAATTAAAATATAATTTATATATTCTACATCTACATGCATACATTATATGCATTTTATTCAAAATTCATAAGGTTTTTGATGATACATATATGAATAAAATATATGAATAAGTTATTAATAATTTATTATAAAACTTGAGTAAATAATAATGCTTTTATGCAAATAATAAGATATTGGGCTTATTCAAGCATTATCACAAAACTATCTTATGTGACTATAAGTCTTTGAAAATATGTCGTGCTTTCTAGTATTCAATCTTTACAATGTTTTTTTTCAAACTATACAATTTTTCTATCATGAACCTATTTTGACAGTCATTTTTCTATTATTTGTTTTTTTAATTTAGTGAATTATATCCAACAACATAAAGGTCAAGAGCATATAAAATATGCGCGTGTTATTTTGTTTTCAAATGCGCTATAATATGTTTTATAACAATGTTAATGTATGGACAAACGAGATATATTAGCGATGCATATATATATATATATATATATATATATATATATATATATATATATATATATTGAATGGTAGAGTCTTGGATTTGTGTATATTTTGTAGAGTTTCGAACAAGAATCCAAAAATAATACAAAATAAAAAACAAGAAAAGTTTTTAAAAAAACAATTTCTTTATTTAATTATTTGTTTATTGTCGACGTTTCGGAACTAGGTACGTTCCATCTTCAGGACATCTGTCAAGAAACATGATCTTGATGAGATTTTAGCAAACAATATGTTTAGGAAAAGACAATAGATTTTTCTTAAATAATGAATTAATTGTAAAAAAAATATAATAATGTACAGAAATATGATAATATGTTCAAAATGAAAATGATAAAAATGATAAAAATAAATGAGTGGATTATCAGAACATGATATTAAACATAATAGAATTTTTTTTGAAAGTTATGGAAATTTTTTAAGAAAAGGTTAATGACAAAGTTGAATTAATTACCTGTATGTTTGAATATTTGTTAGCACTTTTTCACTAAATAAGCTTTTTTAACAAAAATGAATTTGTGAGTTAATTTTCCGCCGAATAATTAGATTTTGTAAATCAAAATTACTAAAAGATTTGTCTTTTTTAAAACTATTATTTGAAAACACAAATAATATTGTTCTCTGGATGTTGTTCGATTGGCTTTTTGAAAATTAACTAATTGAAACTGGTGTGTCCTTTGTAACACGTGTAAACACTTGAAACGTCGACAATAAACGTCGACACGTGTAAATCCGAAACGTCGACAATAAACAAATAATTGAATAAAGAAATTGTTTTTTTTAAAAACTTTTCTTGTTTTTTATTTTGTATTATTTTTGGATTCTTGTTCGAAACTCTACAAAATATATATATATATATATATATATATAATATAATATATATTCATATATATTCCAGTGCTTTAATTTATTCATATTCTACGATTACATTTATTTGAGTATTAATATTTATAACAGTATCAATTTTATCTCCACATTTCCAAGACAATTTTATAATAAATTAATTAAATGTATATTACGGAAAGTTTACCTGACTTGGTAATAAAACAATTCAAACTCAATTTATTAACTAATCTAATTTAGGTCTACAAGTATCACAATATATATATATATATATATATATATATATATATATATTGATTATTATATTATTCCAATGAAAATATATAAAAATATTCTACCTTTTTTCCAACATATTACATTCAATAGACTCTTGAAAGTGAGATGAAATACTCGCATGTTCAGAATTAAGTTTTGTTGAAGTAAAATTTATTGTTTGACTTTGATTTAATAAAACAATCAACTTTTTGAACGTGATTGTGACTGATTTTATTTATTTCTTATTATTTCATTCAACTATAGTTAATTTATAAATACATGTAAAAGCAATAGAAAATCTTAAAAGTCATAATAATAATAAATATGTATTCGAATTCAAATTGTATTTTAATTTGATTGTCAAAATCGTATATTCCAATATTGAATAATATTGGTCATATGAGCAAGACAGAAATAAATTATTGAAATGTAAACTTAGATTAATGCGCAACTGAATTTTACATCATTAATTCTTCATACGTAAATTATATATTTTTAAGTACTAATGTAAAATTATTTAGTTGTAAATTATACAATTTATTTTTAAGTTAAGGCATTTATAGAGTTGCCCATAATACTTCGTCACCAGAATTTTTGGTATTAACAAATCACAGTGTATGATAATTTTTTGAAAATAAGAGCCTTTGCGGTTTCAAGCTATCAACCGCATTTTATACTGTAAAACTTTTGAATATGTTTTAAAAAACATAATCGCATTAAAGTTAAATATTCGAATCATTGCATATCACATTTAGGGCTTCGTTTACTCACTACCAGATTTTCTTAATTATTCATTAAAATTATATCTTGAAAAATTGTTTGGATTTAGCTTTTCAATTTCAATTCTTTTGTAAAAATATGATATTTCGTGCATAAAATGTTAATTAGATAATTAAAACTTATTGTTAGCAAAATAGCATGAAATTATACATCTGTGATTGTCATAAAAATTCGTTCGGGTAAGGGCACTTTTATGCTAAAGCTCGAACGTACTCGAACTACAAATATTAGAGGAAAAATAATTAGATTATAAATTCATTAGCCATGTATTTGAATATCAAGTCACGTACATTCCGTTTTGTTTCGTCCTGGTTATATTATGCACATGTGTTGCATGTTGCAAAAGGAGATTGGATTTTGTCTATTTCGTTTGAGCGATATAAGAAACACATAGTTTTGAGAGGAATGCCATGGCAGTCGGTATTCTGAAGTAATTTTGATGCTACGATTGAACTTTTCATTAAGTGTTGTGCCGAACAGTTGCTACCTGAGAATGATTGGCTACAATATAACAGCAAACGAAGCTCAAATGAAATGCGATTGCATTCCCCATCTATTTAATACAACACCGCTCTGGAAATAGAATTGCATGCAGATTTCACACTGATGTTGCTGAATCGTTGTATAGAATCAGCAACAGTAACGTAAAACTTCTAAATTTTCCGCCATTTTTGATTGTTGTATTCTGTTAATATTTATTCTCGTTATTATTACTTTTATTTATTTATTTATTCATCATGGTTCTATTTTAGGGTAATGTCGTGCTTAAAGGCCCGCGGGTAAAAAGGCCTACGACTATTATCTCCAGAACAAGTTAAGTATAGAATTTTTAACCGAGACTATTTTAAAGGGCAAAAGCGTGTATCAGTAGATAAAAGGCAATGTATGAATATTCATAATAAAGTATCTCTTCTCGTTAATATTTTTTTGCTTTTGAGTTCTTTTATAAAGCGGATTTGAGCATATTTTTTATGAATATGATGAATTGTTTTATAAGATATATTTTTATTAGTTAAATTCAACAGTTATTTTATATGACCTCTATAAAGTGTGGGTGGTATAAAAAGAACCACTTGAATCTTCGCAGTGGCAAGATGTGAAGAATAAGAAAATGGTAAATCAAAATCTAAATTAAGTTAAAACAAAAAAACAATTTTAAATGAGACAAATTAAAATTATTGATTATCATAACAGCAAAATCGTAGTCTGTTTATAAATTGTTCACATAGAAATATGATCAGTTTACACATATTGTAGTGTTCTTTACTAAAAGTTAAATCATCTAATTTTAAAATTATTTATTCTATCCCCGCTTTACGCCAGAAAGTTACTACAGTATATATGAACTCAGTAACCAGCTATTCGTTTCATATAATTTACCACTTTTTATATGTTTAATACAGTTAATATGTATTTCACATTATATAAATATCAAAACTGTGTTAGCTAGAAGTTTAATAAAGCTGCAAAAACTTGCAATGCATCAACGAGCAGCAAAAACATGCACTATATGCATATGTAGCACAGGTACTCCTCGCTACAGCTCGTAGCAAAAATAAAATTTTAATACAAACAGATAATACTCAAAGCAAAAGTGTATATAAATAAAGACATATGTGCTTTTACATAAAAACTTATAATCCTTTTATCCAAATTATCTGAATGTGATACTTCATGTTGACTTACTAAAAATAGAAAGTCATACCTGGGAAATAAGATATTTTAGGATTTTCGTGACAGTAATTGGACGTCCCGGTTTTATGTATCGCATTTCGCTATTGTTATATTGCACAAAATGGTCTTGAACCGTAGAAACCTTTTTCCATTAAATCCTACTCATATCTGACATAATTCCCTATTTCTTACGATATATCTTTTTATATGCATTTCGGATGGTATTTTTGTGCGTACATGTGCACAAAGTATAAGAAAGATGTGTGTAATACTCTCAAATCAAGGCGGACACAAAAAGTTGTACGTGGTGACCTCCAGTCGAAATACCACGCACGTGCGGAAGTATATAATTATCGTTGATAGGTAAT